AAAAAAAATCTCAAAAATAATTTAAATTTAAATATAATACTAACGTATATATTTAAAATTATTCGTTCTTTTGTTTGGTGTATAACTAGACTACTTTTTTTTCGTGTTTAAAGCCACAAATTAAATTTAAAAAATCAAGGAAAAAAAATGTTAAGATGATATACGCTAATATAATAAAGTAATTCGCATATATTAAAAATAATACATTTAAAAGGTTATTTGTTAACAAAACTCTGTTATTTTTTAAGACTAAAAATGAAATTTATAAAATATTAAAATACAATTTTTTGGCCACCCTAATACTGCAAATTTTATGCTTTTACCTGTCTATGTGTGTCAACTTCAAACAAGCATGTCATTTGCCCACCATTTAAGTAATTTATTATATAATATTTTACCGGCTTTTTTAATGTGTTGCATACTTTTCGGCTATTAAACCTTATTTTCTTCCTGTTTTGCAAAACTAATTTTTTTCGTATCCACAGCTTTCTTATTTTGCACACCATATAGCATTATGTGTATGTGTATATATTCACTGTGCCTCATGCATTCTTGTATGTACATATGTATATAGCGTATGTCTTTTCTTTTTCTGCAATTGCTGTGTCATCCCACAAATTTTTGTGTAAATTTTATGTCATATATTTTTCCCATTCTTCCGATTTTTTTTATTTTTTATTGTGTCTCGTGGTGGTCGTGTGTCCCCCCATTTTTTGTGCTTTTTTCTCTCTCTTTGTCTGGTTTTCTTTATAGAAAACAACATATAAAATTTCTGCATTTATCAAAAAAGGTACTTCTCACACCACCCGATGAGGGGCCGCGCGTCAAGGGGCAACGCATCAAACTGCAAGACATCGTGGATGGACTCTTTATGCCGCAGCGTGCCAACGGTACATGGATAAATGGTAAGTGTGCGAGAATATGAGCCCGTTTCAAGTTGATTGATTAATGCGCTTGATTTTAAGCTCTATAAATATTGAACACAATTGGAAAATATTCGATATTTATGTTAAAACATATTCATACATTTTTACTTATGTGCTCTAAAATAGAATAAAATATTTGAAAGCGAAATTTGAAATTATTTTCGAAATTCTGAGAATTTATTACATAATTTTTTAAAACTTTTTGCTAGCATTTTCTGTTTTGAATAATTTTTGGAAAATTTTTTTGAAGTTAGTTTTTTAATTGAGCTTTAATTGCATATGTGTATTTTATTTGACTGGTTCCATTTTAAAATCATTTTCCTTATCTTATTTCTACACAAAATTATTTATAAGATAATTTGTGGTTATTTTCGAAACCTTGCATAATTTTTTTCCACATCAAGTTTCAACAATATAAGAAAGTCTAATATCAGTTTTAAAATCATTGAGGTTCTGACTACTTAAACTGAATATTTATTAGTTTTATTTACTATATTACATTTCAAAGTCATTTTCAAAATTATGTGTCTTATTTTAATCAAGTAAACATTTTTGAAAATTTTCTAAGATAATTGGAGGTTATATTTTCGTGTAGTATATACACAATTTTAAATCATTTAAAAATTTGAACTTAATAATATTGATTCTGCTATGTTTTGAGATACATGTATCTAGACTCAAATTTCGTATGATTTTTTCGAAACTCGATGAACTGTGCGAATTATGATTGATTTTCTGACCTCTGTTTTGTGAGACTTTAAAATCGAAATTCGCTTATATTTTCTAAATATTTACAACTTTTGAAGCCTCTTACTCATCATGTTTTGTACAAGGTATTAAATGTGTTGTAAAATAATATTTAAGGTTATTTTGGAATTATTGATAATTATTTCCTGTGTTATATTATAAAAAGTTTCAGTGTTATACTTTTTAAATTAAATTTGAAAAATTTAACATTTTTTACTTATTTAAATGCCATGAGAGCACATATATATTCTTTCATATTTGCCTACTATTTTTTTAAAATAATTCTTATTTTCTAATTTTTTCTCTACCATTTCTGCTAATCAACGCAGGCGAGGAATTTGTTTATCAGGATCACTGGGGAAGAATCGTGTTGTTAAATGCATCTAGTCTAAATGAGCGAGTTCTCATGTCGAATGTGACATATGTAAGTATGAAAGTGTGAAAAAAAATCAAAAAAGTTTAGAAAACTTTATTACTTTAAAATAAATATATTTGAAAAGTAATAACCGAGCAGTATAGTAGTAGTATGAATTCAAATTATCTGAATTTGTGTTTAAGTTGACTATAAATTATCTATATGAGTATGATCCAAACGACGGAAACAATATAAAGTTGGAGTACCTTTTAAGCAAATAATGAAATAAAAAATGTCTTGATGCTGCCACCTGCTGTGAATTTTAAAAACTATATTTATTATATATATATGTGTTAATTGATATATTAGAAATTACGTATAGATACAAAAGAAGTTGAATTTTTCAAAGCTCAAGGCCAAAACTTAAATATATTTAAGAAGAATTACTTTTTCTATATCTTATTTAATTTCTAAAACATAACCACGGTTTCCGGACGGATTCTGATTAAAAATTACTTAAAATATACAGGACTGCAGTTAGAAAGTTTGAATCCGAATTTAATTTCAAATTTTTTTAACTTCCCGCTAAGAAAATGGAAAATTTTCTAAAAATCGGGAAGATATTGGTTTCACCCCATTTTGCAAAAATCGAGTTCTCAACAGATCTCGACGTTCTAAGGGTCGAGGAAGCTTCCCCGAACATTTCTACGATGATGTCCGTATGTCTGTATGTATGTGTGGATGTATGTGTGTGTGTGTGGATGTATGTGCCCTTTTATAACTATTAAACTGCTCAACCGATTTGAATAAACTAAACGGCATTCCAAAGGGTTTCATTGCACTTGAATTTCGTGTAAGTTTGGACCCAATCGGACCAGTAGATTTCGAGAAATCTCAAAAATAAAAATCGTTTTTTTCGAATTTTTTCCAAACGACTTGACCGATCGACACCAAAAACTAATCAGTTCTAAACCTTGAAGAAACACATCGCTTGCCGTAAACCGGGTCGAAATCGGTTGATTTACTTGCTAGATATCGAAAACGAAAAATTTCAAAGAGCTCAAAAGCAGTGAAAAAAGCGAAATTTGAACGTTAGCGTATGAAATTAGAGGGAAGTTGCAGGGATGGCCCTGAGGCCAACCGTTTTCCACATTTTTTTATAATATTTTATGTAAACTTTTTTGGAAGATAAATAAGCAGAATATAAATATTATAATAATAAAATTAATATTTTTAGATAACTTAATATTCCTATATCTAACTTTATATTATAATATTAAATAAAAAAAAATTTTCGTGATACAATTTTTAAGTTCAAATTAAAAAAAATTCTCGAAAACGGTGTGAATTATATGGTTTTTTATAAAGAAATTAAATATTATATTAAACATATTTTTGGTTATATTAAATTAGCTTTTTTTAAATAAATTAAATTAATTAACTTATATAATTTTTTTGGTGCTTTGATTTTGATTTCATTTTAAAATTATGTTTTGTTTAAAAGATTAAAAAAGCACTTATGATAATGTTTTTAAACTAAAATAAGATAAACATATATTTTTTAAATAAATTAAACAAATTAAAGTGAGTAAATTATAAAACATTTGTGTGTTTTGAGGTAAATAAAAAAATTATTTAAAAAACTCGAAACGGATATATTTTTTAATAGATACCTATAATATATTCATTGTTAAAATTTTTTATAAAATATATATAAAATATTTAAAAACATTGCAAAAAAATAATTAATTCAAGTAAAAACATATTTTCAATTTCATTAGAAAAAAAAAATATAAATAAAATTCAATGCAATTTTTTTTAATTAAAAAAAAAAAAATAATTAGTTAAAATAAAAAAATAATATTTTTTAGGCATAATTTCATTCGAATTTTTTAAATAAATAAATTAATATTTGTAACATATTCTAACCATTTTTAAATTTTATATAATAATTTATTATTCATTCATATTAAAATTGACTCTAGTATATAAATTGCCTGCATAAGAACAAAATAATTAATAATATTATTCTATACGCAAATTTAATAAAAATCATGACATTATCGTAATATATTAAATAGGAATAAAGAGGAAATGGTAGAAATAAATAATGCAACCGGTCATTTTGACTGGTTCGTATTGCTAGTGTTAAGTTTAAATGTGAAAATATTAAAATATAAATGTATATGTATTATATATATAATCATACAGTACATTATTGCAATAATTTATAGCAAAAAGATTCGCTGGCGCTCTAACTCCTCGTTGTGTCGCGCTAAAACTGCTTGCGGTGTCGCACTCTTAATGAAATATAGCGAAATTAATTGCAAACCATTTACTTTGAAAGCCAACAAAAAGTGCTAATTTATTATTTAACATAATGTATGCATTGCACTTTACAACCAACTAATGAATAATTAATAAATTGAACTCAAAAGTAAAAACAAAGACATATTGCCGCATAATGTAATTGAACAAAGTACATACATATTTACACAACAGCTAATGCATTTCAGCTATTGCCTGCAGCAACCTCCTGTGGGGTTAGTCAAACAGCCGCAAAACCGCAGAAATGTAGTAAAAATGCACAAATAATACTGAATAAAGGATAAACATGCTTTATGAGCTATAAACCATTTAAAAATCCATTAAATTAGCAGAAAAGCCACGTAAAAGAGCAAAAAGAAAAAAAACAAAAAGAAAACACTTAAATTGATCATTTGTTTGTTTATTGTGCTTCTCGAAAATAATGCAAATAATTTGTAATTACATTTTCTAACACACACACACACACCGCCTCATATCGAAACATTAATTTGTAACATAAATTATTTACAAGAAATTTAGGTAAACAAGCATTTCTTATTAATTTTTCTTCTTACAGAAAACATTTGCACCTTATACATTCTCCATATCGGCCGATAAACGCTATATCTTATTGGCGCAGAATGTCGTAAAACTTTTTCGGCATTCGTTTTTGGCACAGTACACGCTCTTCGATATACAAACAAGGTGAGTAACGGGGAGAGTGATGGAATAACAAAGATGATTGCTAACAAAGTACAATATAAAGTTTTATATAATACAAATTAATTCAAAATACCGCCTAGAGAAGCTCTTAAAGTTTATTACTCTCATAAAATTTTCGGAAGATCTCTCTTTAGATAAGAATAAGCTCTATTTGTCTTTTTGGGTTTACGATTTTTTTCTTTTGAACCCCATGTGAGACTGAAGAGAACAGCACAGCTTTTCCAGACACTCAATAAAACCGTCACTCTTTAGCTACCTCTTAACATTGTTTTAAAATCTTATCACCGTCAAGATAATGAGCACGAACTCTGCTACAATAACCTCACAGCTATTCGCTCCCGTCTCTATACAAAAAAACATCTCTTAGGATCCTTATGAAGCCAATGCTCATAATACCTATTGCCGTATGTATTAAACACGTCGATACACTCTACTTTCTTTGTAGCCGGTTAGGAGACATCGACGCGCGAGCTAAACCCTTTAGCCCCCATTAGTAATAAAATACATACCACATAATAAGGACGACTTCTTAAGTTTACAGATTTTGATAATCAAACCTTATAAGTCCAAAAATTCGGCACAGATCACAATAGTTACTTCAATAAGGCTTTCACAACAGAGCCTCATTCAATGTTCGCAAATGGTTTGAGTCTCATGGTGTAAAATTTATCTGTCTTGTGGTCAAAAAATCATTGCTGACTCTTCCAATATATGTATATACAAAAGTAATCTATAGATGGAAATATTTAAAAAAGCCGCTTCAATTTATTATATTATATATAAATATTATATCTACGTACATCTATATACATAAACTTAGTTGAGATGTTTTTTTTTGCTTTTTCTTATTTACATTTTACCTGGAGTAGCCCTTATCTAAAAATAACTTAGATATTTCTATTGAACTTTCATTTCCTCTTTGTCTTTTTGTGCTGACACGGCTCTACCTAACCTTTTTACCCCCTCTCCCGCCCATTCCATCACAGACTGACCATAGATTGTGTTTTCAACCAATGGCTTATTTCGAATCTTTTATTCCATTTCTATTCATATATTCTTGTAAACGGACTAAAAAGCAGCTGCTCAACTATAATCATTTCCTTTGCCGCTCTATTTCCGTATTTTCATCGCTATCCGGCACACGCCCGCATATATACTGAGCTATAAATAAATATACAATAAAAACTAAAAACAAACACAAACTGTTGACTGGCAAACTGTAGCTTGGACTTCTCCAGTTCAATAAAACTCATGCTCATAATTTTTTCAATTCATTTAAGCTCTCTATCTACTTTTTCCGCTCTTTCAGTGAAAGCATCAAATTGAAAATCGATGCACATAGCGATGAGTGGCCCTATCTACACTATGCCCGCTTCGTAACCACTCAAGCGGCTAAGCGAGACAATGCAAGCACCACCTCCACCAGCACCGGCACCATAACTGGTGGCAATGCGCTGGTGTTGGTCTATAACTATGACATCTACTACTGCCAAGGGCCACGCTCCACCAATCATGTGTACCGCATAACGCGCGATGCAGTGCCTGGCATCGTCTACAATGGCATACCCGATTGGCTCTATGAAGGTGAGTATAAGCACTAGCTGTTGGCTGGTGGCCCTGCGCGCCGACTAACTAGCTTGTTTTTTATTCATATTTGCAACTCATTTCAATTCATTCATTCATTCTCATGGATTGCGCATACGATTAGATTGATTTAAATCGAAAATTGAATTTCCGTTTTTGTTTTTTTTTTGCGTTCTTTCCAAAAATATGCGACGTCCAACACTCTCTTCGATGACCACCTGCTCCATCAACCTTCTCACCGGTATACTCATCTTTGCTGCTGATGCTTACTGCTGCCTGCCTTTTGTGCTTTGTAGAGGAAATCCTGCACTCGAATAATGCAATTTGGCTTTCGGAGAATGGACACTTAATGCTTTACGGTGCGTTCAATGACTCGCTGGTGCAGGAACAACATTTCGCTTGGTATGGCACAACAAGTGGCGGCAATCCGAATGCGTATCTCTATCCGGAAATCAGATCATTAAGGTGAGTAGAGTGGCATTGTGACTATGTGGTAGACAATCTGAATTTCAAATTAATTGGTAGAGAGACTACACGAGTATGAGAGTATAGAAAATGTGTTCGGAGCAGAGAATGTAAGAACAAGGTTACACGAAGATTATAGAAATTATACTCAAAAGTAAAGTCTGTCGAAAATAGTCGAATGAAGCATCAGCTTTATGTTATAAAAAATTTTACTCATATTTTTCGGGATCCCGGCGATTCGGGATTCAAAAGTAAAGTCTCACGAATTTTGTTGTAGAATGAAATATCAACATTATTCAGTAAAAAGTACAATCCCGTTTTTCGGGACCCGGGAGATTCGGGATACATAAGTAATGTTTGACGACACTTGATAGAAAAGGAAATATAAGCTTTATTTAGTAAAAATAGCAATCCCGATTTTTCGAGTCCCTGGTGATTCGGGATTTAAAAGTAAAGTCCGACCAAAGTGTATGTAGAATGAAATATTTACTTTTATTAGTATAAAATCCAAACCCGGTTTTTCGGGATTCCAGCGATTTAGTATTCAAAAGTATATTCCAATGAAATTGATGTGTATCGAAATAGCAACCTTGTGGAATAAGAAACGGTACCCTGATTTTTCGGAATCCCGAAATTTTTTCAAAGCATATCGATATATACTTAAATTCACATTTGAACTCATTTCATCAACACTTATAAAACTTTGTTTCAACAAACTGAAAATTGTTGAAGCATTATCATTTTTCAATACCAGCTGTGCCTGGCGTGCCCTGCTACGCCCCTTTTTATACTCTCAACGTGTTGTATCCCCTGGTTCTAAGCTACCTCCCACCAATTTTCAGCCAAATCAGTTCACCCATTCTTGAGTTATAAACAGTGTAACTATTACGACTTTAATTAACATGTATGTATATGTCAGGACCTTCTGCAGGAATAAACGAATAACTGTAAACTGTCATTCCGTGCTGTGGTTCGGAAGTTGTGCGGGCATATAACGAAATAGCGTTTCATTTTTATATACATATAAGATATTCGTATGTATGTATGTACATATGTAAGCAGATCAGGCCTCATATTTAATTTTGTCAAACACATTTGGTAATATGTGAAACCGTTGAAATATTAAAATTTTTTAATGAAAATTTTTAAATAAAAACAATTTACTTTAGGTCTAAGTCTGTATAAGAAAAAAGGAATAGGGTCACTATATGAAAGACGAATACATTTGTTCAGCTCTTTTTGAAAAACTACCTATGTATATACAATAGCAATATAGCATAATTAGAAATCGGTGAGTTGATTCAAGGATTGTGAAAACTTTCCTCGCTAGGACTCAACTTTGTAAAAAAGCTTGTTTTACATGTTATCTAGATTGTACAGCGGCGTGGTCCTGACAACTCATCTTCTTTGAGTAAAATAACAAGAACGATTAAATATAAGTGTAACTTTTGAGATCGAAAAATCTGCTTTAAAAAATAAACATAGTGAAGCTAAAATCTTATACTTCTCGGCGTCATCTCCAATCATTAGAAAAGAACTCTAGGCACTAAAGCAACCATAGGTTTCATATATTGTGAAAAACAAGTTACTGAGGGCAATATTGTGACCTGGTATATGATATTGTTCCATACAATAGCACTGGAATAAGACAGAGAAGTGTGAAGAGGTTGTCGTTTTTGCTTTTAAACAGACCTTTTTCTGTATGAGATTGATTTTAGCAGTCATTAATCTATTTACCTTCAAGTAAGTTTTAAACAATCAACGGTCTCGATTTTATCATCACTGACTGGGTGGTAAAATTTATTGATCTCATAAATAATCTATACATTTACTACTAATTTTATGATATAAAATTATGTCCGAAAGATGCTGTAGTCATCTCCAGTTGGAAAATGAAATTCACAAATTTGTTAAGGTCTCAGGGTGGAATGTAAAGCTAAGATTTCAATAGCAAGAGAAGAGAGGCTCTACAAAACATAAGTAAATAACCAGTACTTCAAGAGCTAGCATATATACCAACATATCACACTTTTAACAATTGCAATTACAAGTAATCATATAAGAATGTAATTATGTGTGTAATGTACCTAAGTGTATGTTATAGAAATATGAGGTCAAGTCATCTGTTGTGGAGAAATATTTTAATATGCTTAACTTATTGAAATTCGATTAAAGTCACACCCATTATTTGAAGATAAGTCACGCACACATTTATAGTTAGCAAATAATTACTGGTGAGCTCGACACGAATTATCAAAATCGTATAAGCCATCGGATATACTTTAAAAGCCTGTGGGTTTACCTATGTACGTATGTATATAGTGTAAAATTATAGACACCTTTGTGTGATTACAATTTGTGTGAAAGGATTACCAGTGAAATAGCTCTACTAGTTCCACACATATACAAATACAAATAAATATATACAGATATATACAATAAGGTGTGAAAATTATTAAAAGGAAACTCAATTAAGTGAGACATTTTTGCTAAGAGCAACCAATAACATTTACATAATTAAATCTGTGTACATATATACAAACATACATACATGTGTACTTACATACACATGAACCACATAATGTGTTTATTATATGCAATAATATATTGTGATCCTTAAAGGTTATTACTAATAAACTATAATGCATTCCACGAATTTCATTCAACTTACAGCAATATGCCATAAAATATAGCAACACATTAAGCCGGCAATTTTATCGTGAATACATACACTAATATAAAGATGTGTAAAAGCCTGTAACCCTCATTCAAACNTAAAACTAAAGTAAATAGACGTTTTTGTAAAGCTATAAATCACAGCATCTAGGTTATATTGAGGTTATGTTAACCAACATTACTTTTCTATGTTCCTTCTAATCACTTTAATTAATACAGCTTTGTAATTTTATCTGGCAACAACGACCGTTGAAAGGGGTCCATAAACTTATAAAATTTAAGAGCATTTCATATCCTAGACTTGAATAATATATATATAGCAATATAATCAACTTATCACTCAAGATTTGAGCACACCTCTGAATAACTATTGGCTCATCAAAATAAATTGCAAAGTACTTCTTCACTTAATGCATCAGTAAAACTCTCACAATTATTCATACGAACACAAAATTTCATTTATTTCGTTCTATGCTTTCAACTCAATTTGTGACTGATTCTACCGCTTAGAGATCACTACTTCAGCAGTGCCAGTTGGGTGAGTGAAACGGAAATCTGTGTAGTTTGGTTGAATCGTCCACAGAACATTTCGGTGGTCAGCATCTGTAAGAGTCCACTGTTTATATGCGTTGAGGTAAGTAGAAATGCTGTACATTAGAGTAAGACAGAAATGAAGAGAGCGAATGCTAAATAATACGGTACGGGAAAGAAATATTATGATAGAAAGAAAGAGAGTGAGTGCTAAATGATACGGTCATAAGCAGAAATT